GTATTTTAAACCTCAATCAACATTTCTTTTTTCATACCAAAAGCCTAAAAACCAGAACACCGCAGCTGCTATGGGAAAGGCCTCCGCGGGTGGATTGTTTCGCAATTCGGATATCCTAGGGTCATACCGGCCAGTACTGGATGTACGAAATTGGACACGGTCAGGCTGAGCGGCGGGTCTATTTGGCAGGCACATCGCTCTTCGGTATCACGGAGGAGAGCTCTGAGGAGCAAAGTCCGTTAATATAGCAGTAGATGAGTGCTAGATTGCCGACGACACATCGATGCGAAAGGATTCCATTAGAGAAGCGTCCGATTAGTCTCACAGCCCTCCTCTGAGCAGCATCGAGTATGGATGATGTAGTCCGGGCGACAGCACCCCAAACATGTTAGCAGTACTTGAGTCTAGATCTTATCTGTGAGAAGGTTATGGGGAGAAAATTACATATAGCTCTTAACAAATAGAATGCTTTGTTCCAGTAGCTGCCGCCATTGACGAGAATAATTCATGCCAAATTAAGTCCTCGGAGATCTGAACTCCGACCAGCCGAAGTGAACGGCTCTTCGTTAAAGCTCGGGCATCCATCGAAACCGGATGAGCGCTAGGACGCTTCTTATTCGTCATGGTACAGTACTGTGTTTTGGAAGCATTAAACTGTACCAGACTGTTTCATACCCTAGCAGAGGCATTTTGTTGGTGGATGCTTTGTCTTGAGATTGTCCGTTAGAGAAGTCATGGATCAGCCGGACAGTCCTCCAGTGACTGGCATCGAGCACGGATAATATATTAGTATTTTGTTGTTCTTTAGGTAGAAGGTAGAAATTTTGGCATTTTTCCTCACAATTCACCCACTTTCAAATTTTCACCGATTTATATAACAGTTCTTTCTATGCTTGCAGAGAAAAGATTATCCATTTTGAATGTGCTCATACAGAAATGTCGCTATAGTTAGCTTTAAGCAACTTAGTTGGAGGCAAGAGGCTCAAAGACATTGTGTATGGCGAAAGTTGACAATGACATGGCCAGAGGAGAGAACAACAAAACAGAACACATTAGAAGCTTACAAATTTTATTAATCGAAAACATTCTCATTACAATATGCATGAAAACTAACAATTATATACAATAAAAGATCAATTTTTGGCGAATAAATAAATTATATAATGCAATAAAATAGCGACTTAATTTTGCAATTTTCATGCTTCATGCTGGAGTAGCCTAGCCTCGCAGATCTCAAAAAGTAAAGTCCAATCGCAAATGTAGGCCAAAGACAGGTGTAGGTGGCCAAAGCCAAGGCAAGGGTCCAAAATAAGGTCATATGTAAAATCCAAAATAAAGCTACAGTAAGGCATAGCCAAGAGTAAAATAAGGACCAAATCCAAGACTAGGGTGGTAATCCAAAGCTAAGATCTAAGGCCTCAACAAGGCCCAAACGGAATTGCTCTATAAGGTTCAAAAGAAAAGGGAGTGGCCCCCAATATAAAAAAGGATTCACTGTTATATAAGCGCATCGAATGCGATCGACTTTATTTTATTTATTATAGTTACTGCTAAAGGCACAACGTAAAAGGGCTTCGCAAAAAAAGTATTATATTCTGTGAGTCTGTTGGTATCCGCTACAATTTTTGTAAACAACCTAATGAGCCTAGTGACCCGGCATGATGTCATTCGCGATTGTCTGGAAAGGGATTACCGTCATCCGTATCTGGATGCCGTATATTCCCGGTCGGCGGGATTCAAGAGGGTTCCACTGTAAAAGCGGCGGGACACCTTATACTCATTTATCACCTCTGCTAATGACTTTTCTTTTTGTCCACGTTCGTAGAGGTTTATGGGATAGTTCAGGCCATTGGATGCTTAGAGTTTATTTCCAGAGTTTGGTCACTTTAGTTTGCTAGTTTGCGAGTAGGTGCCAAATTCAAATTTAAATTCTTTTTTCTGTAGATGTTATAAAACATGTGTTCGTTTGAAAACTTCCCACTAATGAATTTATCGAAAACCACTTGCCAAGGGAGAACACTTTTTAACCAAAAACTACTTCACCCCCTTTCACTCTTGGTCTCCAGGGTCACTCCTTAAAAAAATTTCAATGACAAGGGGTATCGAGTAATAGCTTGTTTGATAAGTCTTTCGAAGTCCTTTATTTTCTCGATTGATTTTTTAGAATCAGTCAATTCATTTTAGAGAAAATTGGAAAAATCTTTATTTATCTCGATTTGTTCAGATAGAAAACAAAATCACACGAAAATATCACTTTTTATTTCAATAAGTGGATATGATTCTAATTCATGGTGCCCAAAATCAATGTGCTCGGCAAACTGCCGTCACGTTTAGCGCCAGACATCCGAGGAAGATAACTTCGCATAGGTATGTTTTCGACCTTGCTACTTAATTTACTTAAACTGGATCTGATGCAAATAAAAAACGTGATCATCGGAGAGCTTTGAATAAAGCCGCTCAAGCTGAAGCTTTGGATCATTTTGGAATAAATTCGAATACTTCATTACGCAAAATTGTTGCTGGTACTGGTATTTCATTAGGCTCTGTGCACACAGTTACTAAACTCCATAAATTTCATCTATTCAAAATGCAAATATTGCAAGAGTTAACCGACGATGATTTCAATAGGCGAGTTGAGTTTTGTGAACAAATTACAGCAGCGATTAATGATAGTACCATTCATGTAATATCTGTTTAAGTGATGTATGCACATTTTATCTAAATAGATTTGTTAATAAGCATAACTACAGGTATTGGAGCAATGAAAATCCCCATGCTTTTGTAGAAGAGCATACCTAGTAGCCCAAAAAAATAATGTATGGTTACGCATTTTAGGAAACAAAGTGACTGGGCCAGTTTATTAATGGAAATTTGAATGGAGACATTTATTTGGATATGTTGGAAAATACCATCAATCCGCTTATCACTGAAACCATTGAAAACCAAATCGAAGAGGATGGAAACCCTACACTTGATGAGGTTGAAATATATTTCCAGCAAGACATCGCTCCTCTTGACTATCTTCTTCCGGTTCGGCAATGGCTAGACGACGAGTTTCTAGATAAATGGGTAGGGCGAAGAGGGCCTATAGAATGGCCTGCTAGATCTCCTTATTTGACGCCATTAGACTTTTTTCTATGGAGCCGTTTGAAATCTATTGTGTTTACTCCCCAACATGAAAGTTTGGATGAACTTCGTCAGCGCATCATCGAAAGCAGCCATGATATCCCACATGTTTTTGAAGATGTGCGTCGCCTAAATCATTGTTTGTCCAATAACGGGTAATATTTTGAAGACTTATTGAAATAAAAAAAGTTATTTTCGTGTGTTTTTGTTTTCTATCTGAACAAATTAAGACAAATAAAGGTTTTTCTAATTTTCTTGAAAACTAATCGACCGATTTTAAAAAATCAAATGTCAAAGAGATTTGAAAGACGTTTCAAACAAGCTCTTACTTGATATTCCTTGTCATGTAAATTTTTTAAAGGGATGACTCTGGAGGGCAGAGGGTGAAAGGGGGTGAGGTAGTTTTTGAGTACCCCCTTGACAAATCTTTTGACGTGTCTGGGCGTTTTTCTTTTAATCTGTGGTTTTCAATAAAGTTGTGGTGGGGTTTCAAATAAACAAAAACTTTGAAACAACACTACAACGAGATAATATAATAAAACAAATTTTACACAAATAAAACATTAAAAATGTCTTCAAGAGATGAACTCTTTAAACACATAGTATAAAAACACTGATCAATCAGAAACCTTGTCAAATTTTGTTTAAAGTACGTTTGCTTGTGACATTCCTCTATACGGACTATTGAACATTTTTATAGTTAGAAATAGATAAATGTAATTGACTCTTTATTGTGGTATTTGCGCGTGAACATCAATGCCTGGTGGCGCGTCCTCACGCTTGGCAAACCTCAACAAACCTTGACAAAGGCGACCGTGCGGGTAGAGCGTTTGGCTTGGATTGCGTAGGTTTGCAAGCGATTCTAGCCAATCCGATTGAGCGTCGGTTTTTGCTCCCAAATCAAAGGGGCTTGCCGCAAGCGCTTGTGAAGCGTCCTCATGGTTGTGCATCCTGATTGGCGAATAGACATAAGTTTGTTCAGTAATTATCTGGGTCCAGCTGACCCTCAAATAAATTTCATTCAGCTCAACTCAGTACTTAGTTCAATTGAATTAATCAATCAAACTCTTTTAAGTCGTTTGACTCAGCATCAAGGAAATTATGCTGTAGTCGTAATTTCTAGTGTCTTTGAAATATAAAAATGAAATAAACATACATTTATTAAATAAATTGAATATTTTTTTAATAAAATATATAAAAGATTAACGATTCAGTAGAAAATAACTTGATTTTAATCATAGTCAACAGTCTCCACCCCTGTCAAGAATAGACAACAATTAGCCTCTTCAGTTGATCCGGATTTTATGAATCTGTAACATCCACCATCTTATTTTCTTAATCGTACTTTTCGTTTTTGTTGACTAATTTTTTTGTTTTTATAATAAAGAAAGTTGATCGTGTATAGCCGACACAAGTTCAATGTCCGTATTCTGGTAAATCTGAATGACAATCGGGTCGCGGAACTGAAAACGTCGAAAACAATCACAGACGACCCATCAATTCGATTGTTTTCAAAATTAAATAATCAGTGTTTAAAATTTAAGGTGTAAAGGTTTTTCTTAACGCTCAATAGTCTGGGCAATATCAGATATCATCTGATGAGAAAACTATTCTGATTCCGACTTTTATCATAATCTTATTCGAAAATGGCCCCTGTTAATGACAGCATGTTGGCAGGCCCAAATTTGTGTCAAAAATTTTCTTCAATTTCCAAAAATATTTTTATTTATTTATTTTTATTTGAATATTTTTTGCTTGTTTTATTACTGAAAAAGCAGACCAGGCTTTTTTAGGTCTGATCCACCAGAGTACACTGCCATTTATTTTTTGCAGATAACATCTGATTTAAGGATCTAATTGAAACATTAACTTGTTTCAGAAAACATGAACATATCAACGCTGCTGTTAACTTACTCATGTGTAATAGGGTTACTTCTAGGGGTTAACGGCTTGTTTTTACCAAAACGTGTAAGTACATCATATCTTGAAGTGGATTACTGAAGATTGTAAATGCTTGACACTGCAATTTAAATCATAGAAATATCGTTAGCGTCTTATTTGATTTTTCTATTTTCTGTAACATAATGTTGCCGAAGGGTATAATTTTTCATTAACCCAAAATAACCAGCTAGATATTTATCTACACCCCACGTTTCAAATTCGTACACCATTTTCGTTTCGAATTAAGTCATATTATGAGGGAGGCTATAAGTGAACGTACTTGAAAGGTAAGAACTCAAGCAATGTCTTTTTAGGGCTTAGCGCCGTACAAAACAAGAGAACGAGTCTTCTTAGATCCAGCTGAGAAACGCCCCTTCTGCAACGCTTTCACAGGTAAGTTGGTGAATTTTGAGTTTGATTAAACACAATAGTATCCAAATCTTAACAAGGTACTCAAAGCTGCCAAAAATATCCAAACAATCACAAAATCATATGAAAATATGTACAGGGTGGCGCACCATGATGGGGCACAACATCTAAAAAATTAATATGATACTAACTTAACTAAAACTTGTTGAAGAATGGATGATAAAGTTCCAATAGCACCTATGTCTGATAAATTCGGGAAACTGTCAGTAATATCTAAACAATTTTAGAATCGTATGTAAATATATGCTGAGTGGCCCATCTATACAGTGACATAATATTTAGAGATTCGAAGCGCATACTTATAAGTTTAAACTAATAATTGTAAAGGTATTATTTTATCTAAAAAATCATTGAGGTCTGACACCTAATATATCTGCCACTTTACAGGTGGAGCTGTGATTCTTAGTCATTAGTCTAGGAACAGATACTGCTGCGGGACATTATTAGGCTCTATAGGAGTATATAAAATGCGCAGGGGTATTACGTATTGTAGTTGTACGTGTTGCCTAAACATCATGATGCTTCAGTTATGAATGTTTGGCTCTGATGTTATGTAATATATGCTTCAAGGATGGCATTATAGGAGGTCTAAGCTGTAGGTTGTGTACTATAGCATGAATGAAACGGAAGTGCATTGTGAGGATTTGTGTGCTAATAGTCTGTGTTGATGATAATTCTGATGATTGGTTTCTTGTGTCAAATACACTTGAATGAATGAATGAATCTTGAATTTTAGATTCATCCCGGCCACCATAAGGAGCCAGTGCATAGGCCGCTTAAGCGGGCCCTTATGCACCTCTAGAATACTTAAATCACAAGCCTCGCCCTTTTAGCGAAGTTGAGAATCGCCTTGAGTCCAAGCTCCTTTACGTTCTGAGGGTCCAAAGTAATGGACCCCAGTATAGTCTGCCTATAGTAGCTCAGAGCTTCACAGCGACACAAAACGTGCGCCGAGGTCTCTTCCTCTACTCCGCAGCGTTCGCACAAGGGATCCTCAGCCACCCCCATCACGTGCAGGTGCCGCCTTAACGTGTTATGGCCAGACAACAGTCCCACCAGCAACCTTAGGTTGGCTCTACCCAGAGATAGGCAGAAGCGTCCATCCTTAGCACTGGGCCCTTCAATGAGCTCTCGTGCCTGGCGGAGATGTCTAGAGATACTTCTCCATTTCTGAGAGTGTTGTCTTGCAACCCACGTCTCCATTTTCCTCCTAGCTTTATGCGCGGTTACTCCTAGAGCTGGCTCAGGACCAACGAGCTTGCTGGCTGATCCTGTTTTCGCCAGAGTGTCCGCCGTCTCATTGCCCCTTATCCCAGCGTGCCCCGGTACCCATATTAACGATACCGGATGCCTCGCTGCGAGGCAATCCAGAGCCTCCCTGCATTGCAATACAAGACTCGAAGTAATCTTACATGCACTTAGTGCTTTCATTGCAGCCTGGCTGTCGGATAAGATTGTTATTCTTCTCCTAGGCCCACCCTCCTCCAGAATGTGAGATACACAAGCCAGAATCGCAAAGATTTCCGCCTGGAAAATGGTGGTGTACTCACCGAGAGGCAGAGATAGCCTAGTTCTAGGTCCAGAGACCCCAGCACCTGAACCCTCTTCGGTGACCGAGCCGTCCGTGTACCAGACCTGCCCGCTCACATCGGAGAGTCCTCGGCTACCGGCGTCCCACTCCTCCCTCGTTGGGTACTCCACAATGAACTTGCGGTTGAAGCGATATTTAGGTCAAATACACTTACTTGAGATGTATGCAAAGCTAAAAATCAGTTGGGCGTCCCCTTTTTCTCAGTCAACCTGGAAACTACATTTGCTGACTTTCATAAAAGGGGGCGATAAGAAAAGAAAATCCCTAATTGGTGAAGTATATTAAACAGGTGAGAAAATATGGTATATACAGAAATATTTATGAAATGTAAAAAAGTTATTATACATATTTCACATTGATTTTAATTTGAAGTCATTTAAATTTTATACAAATTTATTTTACGATTTCGGGTAGAAAATATAATTCAGCGCCTAGATGTGAGTCAGTGCGAAAATGTTTTGTTTGTGATGCGTCACTCCTAATGTTTTAGTGATGTGGCTTAATCACACACAATACGGGTGCGTTGCTTATTTCCCGTAATGTTTATGAAAATAATGGGGAACGTTTTAATGCAATAACTTTGAACAGAACTCTCATCATAAAGGACAACACAAATAACCTGTCTGGTACAGCTAATAGGTATATGTCATGGACAGGATATTCATTAATAATTTTCTCACAGCAAATATCACTGATTTTATGCTCACAACATCTAGATGTGATTTTGCTACTCTGCTACTCAACCATACATCTTCACCCTGATGTGCTACGCATTCTCCAACACGCCTAGGCATGCTTCTGATCAGGTGGTCAATGTCCTCCTGTGGTATCTCATTCCAGGCAACCCCCAACTCCTCTCGAAGTGCTTCTAGAGTCTGAGGAGGACGTTGCAAATTGAGTAATCTCCTACCCATCATATCCCACACATGCTCAATTGGGGATAAGTCGGGATATCTTGGTGGCCATGGTAACAATGTGAAATCATTATGTTGAAAGAAGTCTATTGTGACTCTTGCAACATGTGGTCGGGCATTATCTTGTTGGAAAGTTGGATCTGCCAGGGTGTCAAGATAGGGTAAAAGATGGGGTTCTAGAACTTCGTGGATATAACGCTGCGCGTTCATGTTACCTCTGATGAAGATTAAAGGTGACCTGGAACCATAAGCTATAGCACCCCAAACCATAACTCCAACAGTGTGATGAACATGCCTTTCAACAAAAAACTGTGGATTCCTTCTTTCACCACGTCGCCTTCTAACCCTGGCACGACCATCTGCATGCCTAAACAAAATCGAGACTCGTCACTAAAGACAATACTGTTCCATTCCTGATCCCAGAGTGACCGTTGTCTGCACTACTCAAGGCGATTACGTCGGTGTTCACGAGTTAAAGGGAGGACCCAGTGTGGCCGGTATGAAAACAAGCCAAAACTTCTCATTCGTCGGTAAACACTTCGCATGCCAATAGGTCTTCCGTGTTCTGCAAACCATTCATTTGCAATGGACCTGGTAGTGGAGAAACGGTCCCTTAAGGCCAATAATCTTAGGCGGCGATATTCACGGTCTGTTGTTCTACGGCGGCGTCCAGTGCCCCTTGCTCATTACGTACGGCCTTCTCGAAGCCATGCCTGACAACACCTAACCACAGTGTCTACACTTCTTTGCACTCTAACTGCAATTGCCCGAAAAGAAAGTCCAGCTTCCCGAAGTCTCACTATACGGCCCCTATCAAACTCACTAAGATGACGAAATGGTACAGGTCTCCGTACTCTAGGCATCGTAACCGATCGTAAAGGATGTCAAGAACCAAAATCCGCCAACGTTGATTCTTTACTGCGGCTGAAATATTCATTTTTAGAGCGTTAGTGAATTAAAAAAAAGCAGTATAAAAACCGGAATGTCCAACTGATAAGGCTGAACATTTTTTCACTTGTTATTTACAGTAAGATAAATATGTACATTCACCAACTTTTATTAAAATAAAACCATTTAAACTGGGTGTTCGGATTTATATGTCACTTAGTATACTCACAGACTGCATCGGCATTCTGAAACCAACAAAGCATGATGGGCAAGTGACTTGCAGCTTGCAGCATGGCCATTGAGCATGTCGTGTCGTTGAGTCACTCCCCCATAGATGGACGCTTTTGGCGAAGGTCACAGCGCTCACAGTGAACAAACGCGGAATGTACTGTCTGCACACAAGAAACTATTGAGGCAGCAAGTTGAGATTTTGTCTTTTTTTGAGGTTTTTACGCAATAACCCTGCCGGTCACGCGATCCAAATCGTGATCGCCAGTTCGCCATATTTAAATATGTCCGCCAACATACAGGGTGTTTCAGTTTATTGTTGCATAATTTTAAGATTCGATAGAGCTTTTAAAATTAATGCATAAAGTCTATATAAACATGGGTCGAAAAATGCGTGGCTTCCTAAATACAGGGTGTTTAAATTTACTTACCAAAATCGTTTTTTTTAAATATTTCGAACAATATTTGATGTATAACAGTAAAAATTGGTATACAAGGGCTCTTTGGTACGGTAGTTTTACTGTAGCCGCTAGAGGGCGCTCTCTACTGTACCAGTAGTGTATTAAAATGACCGAAAAATTTTTCTTAGTGCAATTTTTTGCTTTTTGAATAAAAAAACTGATTCTTCGCACTTTTCTGCATAAAAAAAGCTCTCCTGTCAGTTTTCGTTATAGTTAGCCGTTTTTGAGATATTTCGATTTTTAAGATTCGATGCATTTTTAATTATTTACGGGAAAATAATATTTTTTTTTACATTTTCGATTTGGGTATTACAAGTAATTAAGATGATCGTTTAGATTGTGTTTTTAAACACAGCAATAGTTCCTAACTCCAAATAAACACAAAAAACAAAATATTAATTTGTTTGATTTTCCAATATTATTTTTAACAAATCAAACTAATTATTTACAACTAAAATGCTATTGGATAGTTAGGAAAAACATACAAAATCTAAAGTAGTTGCTCGAAATGTAACCCAATTGTTCAATACACAATTCACATCTACGAATGATCGAACGTGGTATAGCATTATTCAAATAAGGCCTTATTTCATCACATGCATTCCTGATTCTGTCTATTAGCATATCTCTTCTGGTTACGGGAGTCTGGTACACTTTTTCTTTAGGAAACCCCACACAAAGAAATTTAATGGATTTAGGTCAGGGGATCGTGGAGGCCAGGCGACTGGTCCTCCACGGCCGATCCATCTTTCTGGATAATTTTCGTCCAGCCAGTTTCTAACTATTCTCGAATAATGAGCTGGACAACCATCAAGCTGGAACCAGGCCAATCTTCTTAAATCTAACATAACATCATCCCACATCTTTTCATGTTCAGCCTTTAAAAATTCCAAGAAGGTCGCAGCATTTAACCTTGCAGGCAAAAGGTAGGGTCCAAATAGTCGATTACGGTAGATACCAATCCCTACGTTCACACTAAATTCATGCTGAAAATTTCTTTCCCGAACTGCATGCGGATTTTCATGCGACCAAATATGTTGATTATGAAAATTTACCACTCCACGTCTACTGAAGCATGACTCATCGGTCCATAAAACGTTACTTAAAAAATCCCTATTATAATCAGTTCTATCAAGAATCCACTGACAAAATGTGATTCTTCGTTCTCCGTCCCCTGGATGTAGTCCTTGCACAGGTTACAAATGGTCATTTCTAAGAACACGGTGAACATGGCTTGCTGAAATTCCCAAGGCACCAGAAACTCCCCTAACAGTTGTGGTCGGATCTCTATCAAACTCACGCAGAATCATACGGGTAAATCTGCGCTGACGAACATTTATGTTTTGATCCCTTTGGAGATTTCCAAAACCATTTTCAATTGTTTGGCGATGCACTCTTACAAATAGTGAGCGAGTTGGATGTCGTCTGTTTGGAAATCTTCGTGCGTATTCTCTGGCTGCTTCTGCTGCGTTTCCATTTACAAAGCCATACACAAAATGAATATCCGCTAACTCTTGATTGGAGAATAAAAATGGCATTTTTATAAAACTTATGAAAAAAAACAGGTAAAAGAAACTAAATTTCGTGCATTCACAATTGCAAAAAAACGTTTCAGGTTTCAACAGACAACAAAACTAACTGTCAACTAATTGACGTTTAATCTTATTCTGCTTTCGATTTCAAAAATATTTGCAGGCACAGCCTACTTCTAAAAGTTATCGAGATACTGACTTTTTAACGTTATTTTATCATGAATAATTAAAAATGCATCGAACCTTAAAAATCTCAAAAACGGGTAACTATAACGAAAATGCACAAGAGATCTTTTTTATGTTGAAAAGTGCGAAGAATCAGTTTTTTTATTCAAAAAGCAAAAAGTTGCACTAAGTAAAATTTTTCGGTCATTTTACTGCACTACCGGTGCAGTAGAGAGCGCCCTCTAGCGGCTACAATTAAACTATGCCCATGGTTCGTTTTGTCGTACCAAAAAACCCTTGTATACCAATTTTCACTGTTTTACATCAAATATTGTTCGAAATATTTAAAAATAACTATTTTAGAAAGTAAATTTAAACACCCTGTATTTCGGAAGCCACGTATTTTCCGACCCATGTTTATGTAGACTTTATGCATTATTTTAAAAGTTCTATCAAATCTTAAAGTTATGCAACAATAAACTGAAACACCCTGTATATTCGCAACCAGTGGGCCCACTTTAACTCTTCAAAGCTCATTTTAATCCTTTTTTAAGTACAAGCAGCACAAATGTTCATTTTTTTGTAAGATAGGGGCACCACTAAACACCTATGAGAATATATATATATAAAACGAGATGTCGCGATCTAAATCGTAATCGTTTCGTCGCCATATATAAAAATGGCCGCTGTGTTGTAAAACCGCTATTAAACATATCTTGATAGCCAGTGGACCTCCTCTCCTCCATAACTGGTTTCGTAATTTCTATAAAATGTTCATACGTTTTTTTAATAAGACTTCATGAAACTTTATTTGTACTACAACATTTCGATACATACAATTAAACCGTATAATGATAAATCGATACGGACTTAGAGTGACGTTATTTGTTTATTGTTTCTCGCATTAAGCACTCTCATTTGATACCCATATAACGGTGGAAATAATGAATTGCCATTTAGTGGCGGACGCCATATTGTGCTTATAATGACGTCACGTTGCTCGTTATGCCTCTCTCATCAAGCCCTTTAATTTGATACCTACATATATCATAGGGGTAACTATGGCAATTATAAACGCCATCTTGGACCAGTCGCCATAATAGATTTAGTATGACCCCACTATAGTCATCACGTGTCCTTCTTCAAGCCCTTTCATTTGATACCCTTGTCTTAGGGGTTACTTAGAAAAAATAAATCGCCATTTGCTAACAACCGCCATATTGGATTCAAAATAGGAACATTTAAATGGTTAATTGGTTCAAAATTCTGTTCCAAGATTTGTCCCACACATATTAACAAACAGGTCAAGTTAAATAAAAGCTCATAATAAACGTCTATATTAATGAATCATCCTCCTATTTTCAGGATGCGGTAAATACAAGAAGCGCTCCAACTTGCCCGCTCTAACGGAGAACGGCGAAGAAATGGACGAATCGATCAACAGTTTACTAGAACTCAGCGCAGAACCTGCAGTGGAAGACCTCTCCCGTCAAATTATGTCCGAAGCGAAGCTGTGGGAAGCAATCCAAGAGGCGAACCTGGAACTAAACAGACGCAAACAGGCATCCAGGCCGATAGATGGCGAGCAATCAGATGAACCAGCTGTCCCTGCTAGGAAAACTATGGCACAAAGCTGCGCACTGCCGCCTTGTTATATTTAAAACCCACAGATGACGTCTCGTTCTTATAGGAGGGGGATCAATACGCACAGTGTACACTGTACAGGGCAGTTGTAGTGTAGCAAAGAGTAGTTGTATGAAGAGAAGACAGAATAAAATTAGATATGACTCTAAACACATGGTATCTAAGCAGGGTTGTTCTTATTTAATTGGAAATAAATGCGGTGTTGCCAGATGGATAATCCTTTTTGGATGAATTCGGTGACTATCACTTGTGAACGAATTTTTTGTTCAAATTTACGATTGTTTACGCATTTAATTAAGGTGGGGATATTTATCATTTTGCAACCTACAAAATATATTTTTTTTTAATTTCATTCAATACAATTTTAATTCTCAAAGCCTCTAAGTTACCACATAACTTTCAAGCCTCTACGCAAAACAGCTTACGTGTTGGTTTAGTAATAAAAGAAGAGCGTCAGGTTGAAATTCAACAACTTTCTAACCTCAAATTGCTTATTTGACCAATCGTCGGCCCAGTTATCTAGACGCCGTGCCTTAAGACGGTTTTTTTATTTATTTAAATGTAGCTTTTATAAATATTTTATGACAGCTTGGCAACACCGCCTCGGTACATGCAGAGTCATCTATTAGCAAATGGCCAATCCAAGGACGATCCGCACGTAGATCGCGTATTTACGTATTTTGATGCACCAGCTCGACAAGTTACATGTTTAGCATCAAAATACGAACGATATGACTAGTTTTTATCGTATCATATCAGTATGCGACGGCGGATTATAAAGGCATTCCACTGTCTTCTCTTAATATAACTACTCTTTGGTTGTACTGTAGTGTATACAATCATTTGGTAGATGGAAATTTGGTAGATGGAAACTTTGGGGAAAGTTTTGAAAAGTTGGTATCCCTATATACTTTGACAAGCACACGTTTTTCACTTTTATTCCAAGCAAATTACGTCAAATGCCAAATACGGTGGTTCATCCTCTAACACTGTTCTCAAATTGCTTATATCTACTTGAAAGACAAATGGATATTAATGAAAGTCTGAAGAGTTAATGTTGTACCTAGAATCCTATTAATAGTCGTATTCCCCCAATGTTCAGATATGGAAAAGTGATTATCCAGGGTGTCCCAAAGGTCATGAATCAAACGAAAGAGGATGATAGATGACTTACAATCAGAAAAACAATATCCGATTGTGCTCGGTTTTTGAGTTATAGCCATTTTCAAGGATTTCTAGAAACTCAATATGTATTCCGGATTCCGTTGAGAAGAACGATCTGAATACACTCACGAAACCATGTCAGCAGGAAATTTCGAATCAAAATTAACAATGCCCTGTCAACAACAAGGCCTTCAGGGCCGGTGTCCCTCAGGGTTCGGTCCTGGGAGCAATTCTTTATTCATTTTTCATTCACAACATCCCTAGCCCCAGCAACTATGAAGTATACCTCTATGTAGATGGTATGATCCAGCGGAAACACACAAAATTTGTAAAAACTAGATTTCAGATAACACTTCGGCAAATTTATCCTTTGTTAAATGGATCTTCAAAATTCAGTTTGATTAACAAAATACTGATGATAGCACCGTTGTGCGGCTAGGTGCTTTTTAGCCAAGACGCATCAGAAGAGGCGCAGCTACGTCACTATATAGTGGACTCGCATAGCACAATTTCAAATAATTAAATGTGTATTTGAAATTTGCTTATTTTTATGGCTCACTTCACACATTCATTGCGATTCTCCAACTGTGTTGATTCTCAAACAACTTTCACACCTTTGTTTATCTATTTAATAAAACAAGTCATCCGTAAATCATATCTATTCATCAACAGGAAATATTCACATCTTTATATGAAAAATAAACAGTACACAAGTACGAAAAGATCGCTCTAACAACACAATATGTGAAAAGTAGATATACAGTAATGAGGACAAAGTAGAATATATGTATGTATTAGAAAATTTCCTATACACCTCTAAAAGTTCTCTGTAAATTAAAACGATCAATATAATTTATCATATTCTATCTACAACACTATACAAATTGTTTTCACAACATATAGGGCTACATCTTGACCCTCATAGGACTTCGTAAAAACGACCATAAAAATTAGAGTTCTCAACTGTCATCAAGATTATTTTTGAGCAGGTACAAAAGCACCGCAGGCTAGCGCTCGGCAATGTATTTGTCACAAACTCTTAAATGTCCATAAAATTGATGAAGGCAAAAAGGGACGGTATTATTATTAGGCGTAATAGAAATTTTTTGTAGAATACAGTGTCCAATGTACTCTTCTAACTTTTGCTTTTGGGCTGTTTTATATATCAACACCTCTTTGGGCTTTATTTCAAACTGTACTTAAACCGAAGTGTTATTTCACAAATGAATTCTTGATTAAAATAAAAATACAAAAACATGTGATAATTCATTTGTATGTACTTCCCTCTGACTGTTAAACATAAGTATCAGTATATCTTAGACAATACAAAGGTTATTTGTAGATATATCTCGGAGAATATAAAGGTAAGTTGTAGCTCTATATTGGTCTATAATAATATTCTTTATAATTCGATGATAATTCTAGAAATCCTCTTTATACGATAGGAAGAACAAGGAGATTACTCTAATTCCATACAAACGTTTCTTTTTTCAACACCGAAGAGCCTTATGTTCAATTTTTCATCGAAATTAAAAATTAATCAAATTGATAAACGGTCTAACTTTATCCTTTGTGTCTCTTGATAAAAACGTCCATAATACACAACAACTTAAAACACCTAAGACTTAGGTACAAGAAGATTGGCTATAGTCAGCTTTCCAAATATTTTATTTACTACACAGTTGTTGCAAAATGCAAAAAAAGTATATATAAATCCTACACTATTGTTATAATAATGAAGTTTTCATTCCTTTTAGGAAACGTGTCACAACAAAGATGTATTCATCAGGTCATCACATGTTGGGTGAATCGAATCGCTGATTTTTGAAGATTTGTAATATTCTACTAGTGCTACAAAATCTACATTTTTATGGTTGTACATTTATTTCTAAAGAATAAATTACGACATCTAGGTAGATTTGGGATGTCTGGTGTCTCATTCCTCCTATAAATGGTAACAACTTTTAGATAAAGGGTAAAATATCTTTTTTACTCATAAAATGGCGAAATTGGACATTGTTTATGCCGCACTTCAGATTTCACCTTCCATGTGAATATACCTTTACAGTTTAACTAAAATAAGAACAATAACATCACTTGAAAACTAAAAATTGTCTAGTAGATCATTGAGAGTAAAGCTTTGACGTAATTCTGTACATTGTCTAACGTCACATAGGTATTTCAAATTCTATTTACATATTCAAGTAAAACCATCTAAAAATGTAATGCGTATAGAACTTTTTACAAAAATAGATCTGGAAACCTTTTGAAGCAAGTCATACTCTTTTGAATAGTGCTAGGCTCTATGAGAATACCTTTTGTATTACTTCTAGATTTGTCTAGTGAAAATATCTCTAACGTGATCGCCAAGAAGTAGAGAAATTCAAGAAAGATCTGTTAAGACATAAGATTAGATGTAATGGATTTTTGTTCAGTTGATATTGTAGACAAAGGTAAGTAAAACTGCTTTCATTTGCTCACCTAAAAGTGGAGTGTACATCCTTATAACAGACTGAGTACCCCGGTATTTAGATGTCTGCCTAGGTTAGCTGCTTCAGTATAAAAAAAATAAGTTTCAGATTTTTAGTGAAATGCGTTTGAGATACTGTATATTTTCGTATATTATTTTTGTGCACTTTTTTATCCTTCATTGTTTTTAAGCTTATTAAAATAGGTTTTACTTCTAAGTAAAATTAATTAATTTCCCGGTCAAGACTTACAAGTGTTGTAAACCTTGGCCATTAATACTCTATTAGTAAGTATTATGGTAGGCAAGAAATGTAACTGATTTAAAATGGATAAATATTATCAGTTGTGTTCATCAGTTTCGTGAAACTCCCCTGCATATGCTGTTCTACCTATAGATTAAAAACTTGAAAGATGTCATGATCAAAAGAGCAGTGTGACATATTCGTATTACTAAACGAGTATGAGAAATATGACTGTTTTTATGATGTAAAAACCAAGGCCTATAAAATCAAAAAAGCCAAATAAGCTGCGTTGGATAAAATCAGAACGACTTAAAAATCAATTAGGCTTAAAGCCAGTAGATCCTGCACTAGAAGTTCTCTATTCAGCATATGGAGCTCACAGTGCTCACACATGCCCTGGTCCCCCTCTCTGATCCATTTTCGGGACCAAATTCTTTTACGGTTCCATTTACTTCGTTTTCTCATGAGATGGGCAGCTATAACGCAGATCGCTGTTGTATCAGTCGCATATAATATTATGCGAATTACGGGATCGCTCCATTTTATACAATTTTCTATTCGTTTAAAGAGAAAGGAGTAAAGTAGCAACCGCAAAGGAAAGTGTGGTTAAAATGAATTTGACGTGATAAATGGCAGTTAGAAGTTGACAGTTATTGTTATTTTTCTGCCTACTGCGCATGATTCCAAACGAAATTCAGTAAAAAATTTCTTTACGTGTCAGACAGGATTTCAAATTGTACCTATACAAATTGGGAACTAAATTCAGTAACGAATTAATTACGAAATGCGGTAACAAATTGTTGACAAAATTTTGTATAGTGACAGACGGCCTTTATGGTGTATACAAGAAGGGAAGATTAAAAAGAACAAATAATCTGAAAATCAAAAATTACTATATGAACTTTTTAATATACGGTATGTTTAACGCATGTCATTCCGAGGTTTTTGTGCTTTTACGTCTAATGACCCTCCACTACAATCGTATACGGTGTCGTTTCAACCTGTTTTGTACGATATACGAGGTTTACTCAAAAACTATCGCAAATTTTGAATTTTCGAGGGCTACGTATGTTCGATTTTCGATCGACTAATTTTGACTGACAACATAGGCCATTTTGAATGTTCAGTCAGTTTTTGACAGCTATTGTGCGTGGACGTGTTTTAGCTTGTCTCCGATTTTTGTCTATTCCAAAAAATGTTGACTGTTGCATACGGCAAAGCTACTTTGGACAAAAGCAACGTTTATCGGTGATACAAAATGTTCTCAGAGGGCCGAGAAGATGTGAGCGACGAAAAGCGTTCCGGACGCCTAGGAACGTCAACAACAGATGCAATCATTGATGAGTTCTTGCCGCAGGGTAGAACGGTGAACAAGGAATATTACCTTTAAGTAATGCGCAATTTGCGAGAAGCAAGCCGCCAGAAACACCCGGATTTGTGGAAGAACAAAAATGGAGCTGAACAAGATCACAAAAAATAATTTTTCAAAATGCTTCGAGGACTGGAAAAAACTTTATCACAAGTTTATAATGTCTGATGGGGATTACTTTGAAGGGAACAAAATAAATAATCGGATAACGAATGAAAGCAAAATAGTTATCTCTATCAGAGATGTGGTGATAATGGCACCGTCTCAGTGTCCGATTCTGGCTGCAGATGGCACTTGTGTACCTTTTAATTCCATCTATTTTTAGTTCGGGACCCCTGATCCATACTCCCATTTGAATTAATTGCCCAACATCTATAAATGGATCTACAATGTTACTTGCTGAAAATGTATAACTGCTATTAAAATAATAAAGAAAATGACTTGCTCCGGCAGGAATATTTTTTTCCTGATACAAAATTGTTTGAAAATATACGTGCACACGCGATTTAGCCATATATCGCTCATTGCTTTGCCAGCAACGTATATTCCTTCAAAAACTAAACGAAAACAAATCATACCTTGTACATATCCTATGAATATTATACAATGTGAGGAAATCTAGATAAACCGGTTTATTTACAAATAAGCTTCTTCTGTTTCATAAGAGCTGTGTCTGAAGTATCTTAAACATCAGGAATCGACAAAATACATCATTTTTATCATATGGTAAGGGAGAAGCTGAATGAAATTCGTACTAAGAAGTTAACAACACTTGAATCATTTTGAGGCAGTTCTGACATTGATTTTACTTGGACTGACATAAATATTATAAACCTTTTACGGATATTGGTTTTTGTTGGACATAAAGACTCCGCAATTTATTATATCAATTTTTCTAGATATACGTGAGTTCGTCAGTTCGTCAGCGTTCATCAGGACATTGGGCTATTCGAGAGATAACTAACATTGACACTGCTACGTATATACGTCCACTCCAGAACGGTTGAGTCTAAATTGCTCTTAAATAAGTTGCATGAATAAGGATGCACAACTTGGTAAAACGATTCTGTTTACTAAAAAGGATTATTTCAAACGTTCCTGAATCATTTCAACTTGTATTTGAACATAAAATTTATTTATTTCTCAACACAAAGTGAGATATCAGCAATTTAAGTAGCATCTACACATACTTTTTGAGATTGGAAGGTGAGAGATTGGACCATGAGGTTTACAGTTCCACGGTCCGTCGCGTCAATCACTTGTCATCTGTCGACGCATTATCTTTCCGTGCCGTCCCCCTCCCCACGTGTAGCGGAAGTAGGAGGTTAGAGACTGCATTCCGATTGTTTCACTAAATTGTCTTCTCACGTCTAATAATTTTTAATATGTTCGGGTGTATTGATATTCTTAACATGTAACGAAGGTATCTGTCGTTATCAACAAGCCCAATGTCTCCGTCTTTTTGTTTTTATACTTATTACGAGTTCTATCTTCTCTACGTTCGTTTTGAAACACCTTGTGGCTGCAACCTCAACGACGAGTAAGTTGTTTGACAATTTAAATCTGTCCTGTTTTCTTTGCTAGCATCACAATTGTGTTTTCAGAATCCTGATTAAGGCGCCATAGAGAATGCCGAAAGCTTGACTGTATCGTCAAAAGAGTCAACTTAAGCCTAAAAAAATTTGTCAATTTCCCAATTATATATATAACAGACGTTTCTAGCAGTGTTTCAATTACCACATCAGTTCAGTACAGCGGTTTTATGCCGTATCGTAGTAGGATTGAAATAGCTTCGACAGTTCGCAGAACTAGATAACGAAATCATGGAAAATAAATACCAGGAAAAGCGACGGTAACGCTGTTCGTGCTGGAAAAACGATCCCGAAACTTTACGCCTGGAGTACCAGTGGTGATTTGACAGGGTCGCCATGTTGGGGGATTTTCCCCCAAATTTGAGGGACTTAGGGGAGGTTTTTTAGAAAAGCAACAATTCTGAGGAATTTTTGTGTTTGATTTGGAAACGCTGTGCTTAGACAGATACGCCATATGAGCGCCAACAAATGGATTGCCATTGTAAATTTAACTCAATTATTGCTATTATTGCTTATTTCTTGTAAATCCTTGGTGTCAGTATTCGGAAATCTATGGAAAAGTGTTACTGTTATTCATTTGCGAAGAACTGTTGCAAAGCTTCCCTTTGTGCGGTTAAGAATTATTTAACGAGGGGAAACAATAATATGCTCATTGTTTGGAATTCCTGCTAATCGCCAAAATAGTGGAAAAAACACAATCCTTTGTCTAAAGACCAACCAGATTCATGGATTAAATCATTAAAAGCTGCTGCTTCTTCTGTCATAAGTAATATTACGCATTCAATACTTTATTATTGTTGCAGACAAAATAAAGCTAGAATATGCGAATCACTGAAAAAATCGACTACTACTAATTTGCATCTCTACAGGGTACGCTTAATCAAAATATACACATCGATAATCACTGACCTCGGGTAGTGGTATCTAAAGATATGTTGTTGGATATAATTCTAACAACAACCTTCCATTTGACGGATGGAGACGTTTTAAATGTATGAACGTCCCCGTCCAAGGTCTTATATGTAATCCAGCTTTGCATCTGTTAAACTAGATGGATATTTCGTTGTAAATGGGATCTTGAACTGTATTGTAACCGAGAACTTTCAGTTACGTTAAGCCTACAAGTTGAAATGGCATTTCAGAACCGCACATTAGGTAATCCAGAAATAGCCTCTGTTGCGGCAACGAATAGCACTAATATGACCGCAATATTCCAATACTGGCATACACTTGCACACATAATAGCGCGTATCCTTTATCTGCTGCGTGAATGACAATCTGCGATGGTAATAGTCAACTTGACTCATACCTAATTTCATAGAATAAATGAGTATTTCTTACAGTACAGCCTTAGGAAAACGAAATATATTGATTTCAATTTTTAAAAGTGCAAGATGCATATATAGGTCCAACATAAAGAAACAAATTTTTAAGTTTTCATACGAAATTATGAAAACACTATCGATCTTGATGACGTCTTACAAATTGTAAACAAAGAAGCGTCATCCGTAAGTCACTCCTAGACTAAAGTTGTGTTCTTTGAATACCTTTAAAACACTCCTAATCAACGTAAAAAGTTTTCGTTTTCTCGTTTGAACAATCATAGACGTTGGATTCGTAAAATCACAAAGCACACATTTGCCATTGACATGTTGGTGGTTGGTATTTTTTTGCCTTCAACCTAGATTTCTGATCTACTGAGCTGAAGAACAACAATACTTCTATGTAAGTACAGTACATCTGATATAATGTTAGATATGAAAAGAAAGAAAAAGTAGAACACTTACATAATTTTTCTTTTCAAAAGTCATTCAAAACTATGCTCATGCGTCATATCCTCCGAATAATTTCGTTGATGATGTCGTATGTTACGTCCAACGTAAACGAGACGATATGCACAATAAAATACAAAGGGTACGATAAAAGTTTTGCAATACAGCTTTATTTATTGACTTCGTTCAAAGTAATTTCCACCACATTCATCCGAAAAAACCAGTTTTTAAACCAGCTCTGGCAAGTTTCACCCGGGAGTGCGGTACATTCGTTGTCTCAAGCCCTCAGAAGGTCGTCATCGCTAGAAAACAGTTATCCTTTTAGCTTCATTTTCACATGCGGAAACAGTGCAAAGTCGCAGGGAGCAAGTCCTGGACAGTAAGGAAGGTGCTCTATAAGTTTCAGTCCAGTAGTTGTCAAATACTCGGTGCAGGCTTTGACGCGGAGAGCTGGTCCGTTGTCATGGTGGAGGTACCAAGTGTCCATTCTTGACTTTGGCCGCATGTTTTTCATAGACTCTATGACTTTAGGCAGACACTGTTCCGTGTACCACTTAGCTGTGACTGTCTTCTGTGTGTCGGCATTTTCTGACAGCTACAGGTGTGTCCTCCCCAAACTTTGTTTTGAGCCTTGGCCGGCACATCGTAATAATAGAGTCAAGTCTCGCCACCTGTCTCGATGCTGTTCACATACCGAGATAACCCCTTATTAAAGATTTTTAGCATCTTTCGGTGATGAGTCCTCTGCTCTTCCGTCAGACTATGCGGCACCCAGGGAGAACAAAGTTTGCTTACGTGTAAATGGTCATGCAAAATTGAATGAATTGTTAGTGCATGAAGGTATAAGGTCTTCTCTATCTGTTGGTATGCCACTATCCGGTCTCCGTTAAGCATTTTTCTCACAGCAGTAATGTTTTCCTCTGTGAATGACGTACGCGGCTTTCCTTTCATCTCAGCGTCCTCCAGAGTGAAATTGCCCCTTTGGAGGTCTCTGTACCACCTGAGTATAGTCGTACGATGAGAACAATATTTTTTTAATGCAAGCGTTATTTCTAAGCACTGGTCTATGCTTGAACCATGCGTAAATTTATACCGTAAAACTGTCCAGACGTGCTGCTAGCTCTCATGGTCATGTCTGAACATGCAGTAACATGCAGCCTCCTGCGTTTGTTTGTTGGCATATGGCAAAACTTTTATAGTACCCTTTGTATGTCCGGAACATAAGGTATGCTCCAAGCAATACAAGTGTTGCGTATATTTATTTCCCTGGGCCCTCTAATCCACGGCTTTCCTGGGGTCTTCATCGATGTGTTTTTACATTCTCAGATGATACAATAACGATAATTACATTATTTTTCATGTAAATTAGTTGAAATAATGTTTATATGCTGAACAGTTTGAGATGTTGAGAGGATTGCTGCTATTACAAATGGTATGGCGTCAGAACACATTAATTTGGCGGGCGGCGTTTTCGCATGTCAAAGAAAAATAACAGTTTTACGGGGTCTGAAAAAAAATATAGGGATAATTTTTTTGTCTAATAAAACAAATATTAAATATTTAGAACTATTTGAAAAAAGTGTCAACTCGTCTATTATTAGTACTTATATACCGTGTATCTCATCGACAAGGATAGGCTCTGTACTCGAAATACCAGAAGTAGCTATAGACAAGGAATATTGTGGCAGATATTTCACGAACTGTCATTTAGTAATTGATAATTTTCACGAATCACGACTGTTACCAAATACCGTGAAAAAGCGTCACTTGAGCACGACGGGAACAAGGTGCTTGACGGCAACGCCTACTGGCATCATGGGATCACGCTTGAATGAGAATGAGACGCTCTAGCCGCTAATCGTATGTTCCCGTAAATCTTACTACACATAGACGCGAATCGCGATTGCGAATAAAACAAATAATACTCAAAGTGATCAATTCAGTGAAGTGACTAGTGACCGCTTTTATAGTTTAACTTCCTTCCGAATCGAAAAAATTAATCTGAATTTCTTGCGATTTTTGGCTGCGTAAGCGCAATCCATAATTGTTTGGTTTGTATACTTCATTTTACTTGGCTTGAAATGACGCTACTATCTTTTTCTGTTTCTGTAAGAGTTTTCTGCATTTATCGTCTTGTAGTTTTAATTATTTCAATATTTCTTCATTTCATCTTGCATTCTCATTTCTTGGACTAAACTGTGGAATGCCCCTTGCTGTCTTGTATACTTTAAAATTACCGATCGCCCGAAGTGATTTGTTATTTCTTTTTTTAGTCACTACGCAGTAATCGCTGGTCTTCAACGCCAAAGAAATAAATTGCGTGTTTCATCCATTATAAAATAAACTGTCACAAATTAATAAGAATATCCCCAGAAATAACAGAACGAGCAAACAAGCCTACTACAACTATTGTTAGCAACATCCCAGTATGCCACCGAAAAATAAAAGTGAATGTTTCTAAAATTATTGCTAAATTCGCGTCTTCATGAATGGCAACCCAATTCGCATTCGCAATTGGCGATTCGTGTCTATATGAACTAGGCTTGAGACTACTGTGGCCTGGCCGAATGACTCTTAGTAAAGTGACTACTGCAACAGGAATACCATATAGACAATACAAGTCCAAGAAACAACATCTTAATCATCCACGTTGTCATCATATTTCAAATTAAATGTTATCGAATGAATGGATAATTTTGACAACTTCAAGTGCTTTGTTTCACGAACATTGGATTTTATGTTTTTCGTTTTGAATTTATATTAGGTATTTGGGGTCATTGGGGAAAATTTGGCTACATCACTTCAAGTGACATACCATATGAAAGAGCAGGAGTGGAAGAAGTTTTTTTTAATGGTTTTCCCATAAATTCTTTCGAAAAGTCTTGAAGCGCTGGAAAATCTAACCATTAAAATTATTTTTTATAACGTGTTCGCCATATTTTGAAAACTTGGAAACTATTTTTATAGAGAGACTATTAAGATAAATGATAAAAATAAGAAAACAAAAGAGTTGTTCCTCGTTATTGAACAAACGATGGCTTATCGCTTGATTTTGGCTTTTCTCGTGGATTTCACAAAATTGCATGTAACTCAAAAGCGGGTCGAACTTGTACTAAGATATATGTGGTTCAATGTGTACCAAATCGGAAAAGATGGTATTTACGTTCCGAACACTTTATATAACCCTATCCAGTGTGCTTGGTGATTCAATAAGAAAATAACAATATAAAGTAATGGCAAACTCTGTTTCCTATTTAATTCAAATCTTGCATAATTTTTTTAAAACCCGTAAATCCTGTGATTGCTAATAGCCAAAATAAGCATTTATCAAATATAACTGCCAGAACTATTAACAATTCAGAGCAACACGTTATACCGTATCGATTTTGGGCGCACGTACTATGGTTTATTTATCAGCTACATCGCATTCATTATTAATTGTAACTGTTGCATGTATCTGGGACAATGCTTCATGTCGCAATATACATAATACCATTTCCAATAAAAGTATCATGATTATACCAAAAGTAAGTTGCGACTTCAAATTATACAAAAAGGAGATACTTTTTTTGAAATTTGTTATCCCTAAAAATAGCTGATCCGTAGGGGTATTATGTAAAAAACCTAAAAAACGTAAAAAAACCGACGAAATGTCAGCTTGCACACTAGATAGTCTTTAGTGTGCTCACTAGGATCGCTGATCGCTGACGTTAAGCAACACGTACAACTACAAAACGAGTGCACAACAAGTGTACAACACTTCATGCTAAGTAACATCTTGTAGAAAAATCGTCGTTATGTCACAAAAAACCTACGACATGTCAAAAAACCGACAAACTTTCGGTTTCAAATGAATTGATTGAATGACTTTGGTTTATTTTCTAAGAAAATGTATATCGGTTCAGTTTGTTTGCAGCGTTTCCAGGCATTCTAAATTTCTGGAACACCAGCTTCAGCCAACGAACTCGAATATATTAGAAGGAGTCAAGCCTATACAAAATTGGGGTTTTCCTTTTCAGACACAACTACGCTTGATCTAACAAAGCTAATGTGTGGTGAAACGTGAGTGAACAAGTAAACAAAAACAAATGAAAAGTTGAACTGAAGTTTCAAGTACGGCTCTGTCGTAAAATCTGTATTTACTTCGTATTCGTATAACTGTACGCTGGCGCTGTGGACGTGATCAAGGGGTAGGACACGACCGGCATCGGTTTGGTTCAGGTTTGGCTGTATTTTGTTATTTTTTGAAACTGTAATGCTTTGCTTCTATGTAAATAATAAACAATATAAAACTGCAACGGCTGGCCTGTATAGATGTTTATGGCTTCAAACTGATTCTTGAAATAGTCATGTGTATTCACCACATATTTTGGTCCATACTTCATATCAAGCTAGTAATTTAGACACCAAAGCATCTCTCAATATACGAGGTCTGTAAATTAAGTGATAAAAATGATTGTTTAAAATTTTGTATTCAAAAATAATTACAATTTTATTTTACCACCCTCAAAATAAGCGCTGGGACGGTTCTTCCACTCCTCATAGCAGTGCTGAATCTCCGGTTACAGCTGTTTGAACGTTTTGCTGATTTTTCAACTTCAGGAAGAGAAAAAAGTCACACGGACTCAAGTGAGGCGAATAAGGAGGCCGAGGCGCCACACGAATCTTTTTACTGGCCAAATACTCGTTATGGACATGGCAAGGAGCATGATTGTGACGCAACACCCAGTTGTTCTTGATCTGATGAACGGTGGTGTGTTTCGAATGTCACTCTTCCCCGACCATTCTGTCAACCGAAGCTCTGAATGCACAAGGTCCCGGTTCATGAAGATGAAGGTTTTTGCTTCGGAGAGTTCATCTTCTATCGAAACTATCCCGTGTCAAAATGCCTTAAGCCACCGAAAAACTAGGGCTCTTGACAACTCGCTGACTCCGCATGCATGCTGAAGTTTAACAAGAGCTTCCTTTGCACTGTGTCCAAGTCTGATAGCCACCGATGCTCTAAATCGATGTTACTTATTTTTATAGCATAATAGGAAAAACACTTTCACAAAAAAAATCGCTACGGACAACTAAATGATTCGAGCGAGTTCAAACTTGTACTGAAGGCGGATCACATGTCCCCTGTTTCTCCTCTAAGCCCGGCCGCTCCAGTGTTGCTAGACCGAACGCTACTGTGCCAGTCTCATTACTTGATTTACAGACGTCGTACATATCAACAATATTTGGTTAAGGAGAGCGTTGAAATCGAGGATGGGTGAACACGTTTGAAAAATAGGATTTTTAAGTCAACCTCATTCGTGTGCTGGTATCTCAATAAAACGGTGTAGTTTAAAACTCTGTATTCATATCTGAATAAGTTTGGTATTATTTTTTTCATTCACTTTTCCTCAGTATAAACACATAAATGGTGTTTCTATAAATAAGTAAAATAACCGCAAATTGATGGCTTTACAAAATAATCTGATTGACAAATGCCCAACGGTAGTCAAAAGCAATTTCTCCATAACTTTTTGTAAAACCGCCAAAGCAAGAGAAATATAAATTCAGCTTTTCCACAAAATTGGCACTCTATACACCTTCCCCCTCCCAGACATTTTGATCAGAGTCTTTTTCTACTTACACACCCTACTTTCGAGTTCATCATAATGTTCTTAGCTTAACAGTGCTTATACGATGATCTCCACTCATTATATCACGAAATCACATTGCACGCACATTGATTGTTCCACCACAATATAATAATTTACTATCACAGTACAGCATCAAACATCTGCAGGGACCTAGTGATGGCATCATCCTTCAAGCAGGACTCCATGAACTCCTCTATGGTAATGACGCCATCTTGGTTCAAGTCCAGCTTTCGGAAGACACGGTCGATCTGCTCACGCGCCTTGCGGTCATCTTCCACCTATAAATAGAACACCTTGTATTAAGGGTTAGCGGGTTAGCAATAAAAATATTCGGGATGCTGCCAAAATTAGAAAAATACTGAAGACTTTGAGGAAGAAGATACTTTTATTTTATTGAAGCTTTTGCAGTCCGTGTGTACAGTCTGCGAAAAGCAAAAGTTCGCCAATTTTGACATGACAAACAAGGTTGAAATCGCTTCAAAATACACTAGTCTCAAAAAAAACTCTTAATAGGTGTAGAGCAACGTATTAGCTTCAATTTAGATACACAGCCACATCAAAAATTATAATTTTTTTAACTGAGTTCTTAGGCACTGAAAATACCCGCACCGTAACACAGATAAAATTTCTTTAAACATTTATTATAGATAAATTACGATGTTTCTACCCGAACAAGTGTTTTTATCTTTCTCTAAAGGTCACCATTTTTAAGTATAAGCAATTTAATGTTTGAAAAGCCCTAAAAACGGGTATATTCAATGCTCAAAATCTCTAGTAGAAATTATAATTTTTAATGTCGCTAAGTATCTAAGTTAAAGCTTGATCCTTGCTTCTCGAGACCCCAAATATTATTTTGAGATTGGTTTATTTTAAAGTGATTTTTAACCTTATCTGTTCGACCAAAATTACTTTAGCAGATTATCAACAATTTGGTATAGAAAATTAAAAATTAGAGACACACCTGGATGCACAAGCCACACTTCTAAATAAAACTGCTTAGTGCATACTCTATAATTATTTATGACATTACTGAGGGAGCTGATAATCTAAAGATTGAGCTAGAAATAAGGGCTTTCTTGTTGGTGCTGGGCATATCTAAGTACCTAATGTTGACATGTTCAATATTTATGTTTTCAGAAATATGTTCTTACAAGCTGGATAAGGGTATTTAAATTTAGATAAAAATCTGAAACTACTTTGAAGGAGTTGGGAGGATTTCGCTCAGACGAGTTTTAAGCTGGTTTTACTGTGGAACTTTCACAAGTTATACTATTTGAAGACAATATTCCTTCTTTATAGAATTTGGGACATTAGTTGATCCTTGGATATAATGTCCCGTTTCTTAATCATTTGGATATAATCGCTGCTAAACTAACAGCCGATGGACCCGCTGTTTTGTTATTATGAGTACCCTATGTCCTTTAATTATCTTACATTTTTGGGAAGCTAGAAAATCGTAAAACTTTTTCTAATAATATACAGAAAAACTATTTTCTTAAACTTGCCTGAAGTTGAAGAAACTCAATAAAAGTGTGCTAGAACCTCAATACTTATTCATCTGCTTTTTGTAATCACCTGTAGCTATATCAATAATTGTGGATACTTGAAGACTAATATATGGTTGGCCAGAATATCAAAAGTTACTTTATCTGGGGGCTCAGGTTGGCGCAGAAATCAGTGTACAGGGGTCGATATTTTTAGAAAAATGATAATGAATGTATAAATCGTTGGCTTTTGGGATATATTATATGTCAAATATGTCGGTAGACTTCATCTACAATGCTCTTGAAAAAGTTACACACACATTATCATTGAATTCTAGGTTACTTGAAATATTTAACATCAGGTATTATTGGTCATATTAATCCTCCATCGACTGTAAAAATAGATAACTCAATAAAATTATTTAATCCAATCTCAAGGGCAACAACGTTTGCATGCTAATGTATAAACACATACCTATAAAGTCAATATATGAATTGAAAATTTGATTCCCGTATATTGTCAATAAATTATTAATAATGAGTTTAAAATACTGGCTACCAAGGGTAGGCAGTATACATGCCACATGTTTCAAATCGGATATCGATTTCTTTCTTTAAATATTTAGTACCATTAGCTTCATTGGGTTGCACTGTCAAGTGCAGCTATTTAAATTCTAAATCTGATACTTTAGAAAAAGTATAGGTAATAAAAGCTTATCGTATGTAAAATGTTGTCATAGTGAATTGAGATCACGAAAACCCTTGTTGAATGATGCTATATAGTGCGTTCCGGTGGTTGGTTCTGTAGTGGAATTTTACACAGTGTGACAAATAATTTTTTAGACTGGCGTCAGATCTCAGCAACGAGTGGCGCCGTCTGTAAAAATTCAGCTGCATTACTAAGGTACAGTGTTCTTCTTTCCAACGCACCTTAGATCATGTACATCGGATGACAGATGACTTCCTCACCTAGTTTTGTAATCGATGATGAAATTTCATCGTGGAACAAAGAGCGGCCATTAAATTCAATGCAAAGCTTGGTAAAAGTGCAGCAGAAGCATTCCGGTTGATGCAGCAAGTAGGTACGAGTACATGGCGACGGTTGTTTGAGTCGATCAAATGTTTTCTTGTAACACAAACGATTTTTAAATGGTAGAGAATCGCTGGAAGATGGTGAGCATACGGGAAGGCCAATTTCAATTCCAAAACCAGAAAAAGTACGCGATTTTGTTGCAAATGGTTGCAACGCTTCACTGAAAATGATGGAAGATGCGTTGAATATCAACCGAGAGACTATTCGGACCATTCTTCACGAGGATTGGACCAAAAAAAAGTCTGTGCTAAATTTGTTTCACACACTTTGACGCACGAAAAAAAAATCAATGAGAGTTGCCTATTCCAGAGAAGTTGTTGCAGCCGCCAGAAATGATCCAAACCTTCTGAAATCGATTGTTACGGGTGACGAAAACTGGTGCTTTCAGTACGATCCCGCAACCCAGAGTCAAAGTGCGGAGTGAAAGTCGAAGAATTCACCACTAGCCAGAAAAACGCAAAAAGTGCCTTCAAAAATCAAGACAATGTTAATCACCTTCTTCGATAGCAAAAGAATTATCCATAAAGACTTCGTGCCATCTGGTCAAACAGTTACTGGCAACTATTATCTCTAAGTTATAATGCGCTTGATGGCTAGAATCCATCGCAGATCTCCAGAACATCAAGATTCAGTTGGTCGCTGTTGCACGATAACGCGCCATCTCACAATTCCATAATTGTGCGTCAGTTTTTGGCCCGAAATAGAGTTTGTGACTTAATCTTTTACCGGATTTGGCTCTGTGCGACTATTCTTCATTTCCTAAATTGAAATAAAGAGTGAAAGGGTGCTTTTTCGAAGACATTCGGTCCATCCAAACAGCTTCAACACGGGCACTAGAGGCAATATCACAAAATGACCTGGAGCAGGCACTTGAATCAATTTTAATTCGATGTGCAAGAGGAGATTATATATGATAAGTAAAGCAATAAGTACCAAAATATGTTGTTTGCATCCCATCTTATAGGCCTAGTTCCAAAAATTATTTGTCGTACAAGTATCAGTACTTTTAATTAATTTGAGGTGCTTGATGATATATTGTCGAAGCAGTTGTTATTGTGTTGAGCTAATACTCCGACTTGTCTGCTGATGACCCCGATGTTGATTATTTGACAATTCATAATAATTTTATTATGTTAGTAACTGAATTATTTCCTAGTTTACGTGTTCTTTCGAGCCTCCCTGCCTGAGAACGACCATATAAGCATTCCCCTGTGTAAAAAAGTAAAGCTAGTACTGTTCTCATGGCTAAATTGTTTCCATTGGATCATACTCTTATGTTGTCAAATATCTGGGGTTAAATAAACGCACACCTTTTGTAAAAGCTAGTTCGCACGCTGATGAAAAATACTCCAAGCGACGGCAGCAAATAATTTAGGTTCTTAGGTATGTAAAAATGTAAACTTATCGGCATCGTACTCTTGAATTTATATTGTCATTTAAAGTTGTTCCTATATATAGATATGTATTACTACTGTAGTTTGCAAAGTGACTTGTCTTGAGAGAAATCTTCCGGACTTATAGTCTTATAATGCATAACTTCTATTTTGAATAATTTGTTAAAAACCTTGGAATTGTTGAAATTAACTATACTCGCAATTTTTTGCATTTTATCCCTACCTCCATTAGATTATCAACAGAATCTGGTATAACTTTAGAAAACATCCACCTCAAACTCTCACTCTTATATTTTCTATTAGACAATCTCGTTTTTGCAGTGTCTGGATAAAATTATTTAGATAAATGTTCACCTGGTGCGCTCTTCTTCCCATCAGCTCATGTACAGCTATGACTATCTCTGATAATTCTCCTCGACTGATGCAGCCGTCCCCATTCACATCATACAGCTTAAAGGTCCACCTCAACCTCTCGTATACCGAGCCTCGCAATAACGTCGACAACGTTATCAGCAAATCCTGAAAACAAAAAAGAAATTTGCTGAAATGGTTCCTCGCAGCCATGAAACTTTTCGATGCAAGATAAATGAGCACCACAGGGGCGGAGGCCCGGGAGCACCCCCCTCCCTCCGAACGGTACAAAAACCAGCTTACGTTTTAGACAAATTTGCCAATTTTTGGACATCTATTACTTCGTCGTGATGGACTACTATGGTTTTCAATTTTTTTTTGAATATCTATATATGTGGCAAAATTTGTGTATGGTTTTTAGAACTCATAGATGGTAGCCTCAAACATCTTAACCTGTTTTTAAAGCTTCAGTAGTCATTTCATATCGCATGAAGTTATTTACAGTGCTTTTTAAAAACGCCCTTCTACTTATTTTTCGGGTCAAGTCAGCAAGCTGAAATTCGCGGGTAATGAAATTGATACATGAATACTTATTTAATTTTTTCTTTTTCGCTCCCCACTCCACCACGACTGTATCTTCTCAAAAACTAGACAGCTTTCTCTCCTTTGCACAGTGAGTAAAAAATGTTCTCCGCTACAGTGGTAAACATGGTTGTCCGTGATGTACATGTCATATAACATCCAAAAAACATAATATCTTATTTTCGAAATTTTTCGTGATTATAGTACTTCCTCGCCTGTGGCATAGGAAGTAAAAGGCTGATGAAAAGTACTAGGCAATTTTTCCCTCTCAAGTAAGAAGGTGTGGCAATTCGACTAGTGATAAATTGCATACCTTTACTCTCTAGAGCACAATATTAATCAACGGATATTTATCGCTCGTGTTAAGCTACATTTGACCCACATAGCTATCGGGACATATGTGTCGACTGATGTCCTACTCAGCGGAATATACTGCAAGCCCAGATTGATTTCTGCTACCTGTATCAGAACGAAAAGCGATTTTTCAAGAGAGAACTATTTCACGTCGTTTTTTTTTTAGAACATTCTGCTGGATGTGAAAATGTGTTTCATCATCCAAAGACATACTGAAACACTTGCGGGGTATTAAAGAGTGTCGAGTGATAAAGCTTTATATAGTATATTTGTAGTTGCTTTTCTTCTCTTCGTTTCTGTATTTTTTGATAACGTTCTGATTATTCCATACACTCTCGTAATCTATAATTTGGAAGCTTTTGAAATCTCAATACGTTGCTGTCTTGTGTGCAAAAAGAAAAAACGCGTCTAATCCTTTCCCTTCCAACTAAAGATCTATCTACATATACGTCGTAAAGTGTTATCCAAATCCCAATGGAATTTGTATCGGAATAAAAAGAAATATCAAATAGACGAAGTTCGAAAGCAATGGAGTAGTTTTAACTCCTTCTCGTTTCAGCTTTTCACTGAGGTACTTTAAAGGTTGTAGTTTTTCTTGCTTTGTCTCTCACCGAGGGTTTCTTGAATACCGGTCTCCTCCTGGCTGTCAAACTTTTAACGAGCTCGAAACATCTCCATATCTTTCACTGCTTCTCAACAATCCAGTCCAACTTTTTCAGCAGGACCGAATACGCTATGCTGACGCTGCAAGAGCTTATATACAATGTGGAACGGCCAAATGGCGTAAAACCGTTATTTGGACCATTGCTGATTTCGTTTTCACCCCCTTAATGGGGAAGTAACATTCTGAGTTTTCGTTCTATGTTGCTAGCTCTGCTCTGAAGGATGTTGGGTTAACCAACGAAATTTCAATGCAAGAGGATGTACTTTTTCCATTAATGCACAGTCATCAATAAAAATTTATGTCATCTGGCTGTTGCACAATTTTTTGATATTTTTGTCAGTATAACTGAAATCCCCAGCATTGGTAAATATTTGTTCTTTTACGGAAGATACCTTTCAAATGATGCTTCGCTTGCCTTATCTTTTCACTTAAAAATGAAGGGGTTGCTACCCCCGGTCCCTGACTGTGCTCAATTTACGCTTGAAGTTTTTGGCCAATAAGAGTAATTCTTGAGTTTGTATGTATTCCGAGGGTCACAAAAAACACTGTTGTGTCAGCGTTAGCGCTCTACTATTTTTTTATACTCCAACCGTGGCGTACCGTGAGGATATGCAAGATGCACACATACTGGCTCCGCCTACGAGATCCGCCGGGTGGTACCTCTGCGTTCGACAATCAGAGACCGACTATCACCTACGGACAATCACAACATCCATAGCCAACAAAAAAATTTCTCTTGGGACGGGATTCGAGCCCGCACAGCGCACGGCGACTGATCACGAGACCGAAGAGTCTACTACTGCGGCCACCGCTGCTGCCTAGTAGAGGCTATGTTTTCTATGTTTTGAATTGGAAGACATTTCAGGCCGATACAACATATGATATAAACCAAAAGCATGAATAATTTGATGCAAATAGATATTTGGAACATATCGAAACAGAGTGCTGACATGGAACAGTAGAAAACTATGAAAATCAAGGAGGCCATAAAGGCATCCTACAATTGTACTTGTATTTCTTACACTTAAACATTAAATAAATCATTGCGCAACTTGTGGTCGACTAATATACACCGATACTGATAAACTAATATACTGGTTAATATAATAGGCCATTTGGTGTTTAATAAGACATCAATAACCATTGGTATAATGTCGATTCTTGTATTTTTATAAGGTCCTCAGAAATTTGTTTTTTTGACTCCTAGTAGATGTGCTCAAGAATTTGAATACAGCTATGAGAATAAGGTATATAGAACAAAAATGCTCAGAGACAGGCCGACGGTAGTGAGTAAGCAATAAGTGGCACTTCATGATTGAGACATCACAGATCGTCTCACCTCACCAATAACACGATTTGCACGTTATAAGAACAAACTATGCCTAGAGCTTATCTATTTTTTTTAAACACAATAGAATCGCCATTTCATTGTCCGGAGTGACCAAGGCAGAACAATACAGTGAGTAGAGAAGCATGTATGGAACCTCGCCCATGACCTAGATCTGCAGCTTTATCAAACAGACGTATCAGCTGATGAATGCACTAGAAACTGTGTCTCACCATTCCAAACATGGCTTATGGTAGGTATGTTATATTCGTTCGGCACGCAAACGGGTGGCAATGGGGACTGCCGTTTCCTTAACTTTAACACTGAATTTATGAACGTGAGAAAGACAGTGGCGGCTCGTGCCAATTCAGTGAGGTAGTGCCAGCATGGAAGCCATAATTTTGAATCGATTCAAAATTGTAAAGAATAACTTATAACTTACCCCTGATAGTTAGTGGTCAAAGTTCTTGAGGTTCAATAAATCTATATGTCCAAAAAAAAATCAAAAATAAAACTATTTACACACGCGCACCAAATTATAAAACAAGTGTGGAGAAGTACCTATAACTTCAAAGTTTTCTATACATGAAGTCCATTCTTCTTTCTTTTTTGGTAGCAAAGTTTTCGATTACCTTATTATTAAAATTTTCAATGCCACTAACAAAATGTTTTTCTGCAGACAGCATTCCTAAAGCACTAAGCCTTTCTTCCTTCATTGTGTTTCTGAGGAAAGTTTTAATCCGTTTCAGCATTGAAAAAGAGCGTTCTGCTTCAGATGTTGACATCGGTATAGTGATTAAAATACTTAAGAGCTTAAGAGTTTCTTGAAACGTACAATTTAATCCTTCCTCGTTCAATAAAATGGATAGTGGAACAGCTCCAGAAGTAGTACTCAATTCTTCTCTCTGATATAATACTTGTAACTCAGTTTTAAGCCTGTTTTTGTCTAAAAATGAAAATTGTGTGCATGTGTCATTTAAATGTGCTTCAGGAAACTGATGTTTATAAACAGAAAACTTTTCAGACACAAATAAATTAGAAGCAACTAAATGTCCAGAAAAGTTAAATCTTGTTCTTATTTGCGATAATACTGCATCGCATATTTCTAACGCATCCCGTTTTTTGCTGCCTTCTTCAACTTGCCTTTTTTTTCTTGCCGGTTCATCAGTTTCTCTCTGCACTCGTTCAATCTCGTCAATAATGCTATCCATTTGTTCTCGTATAGTTTGAATTGCTGCTTCAAAATTCTCTAAATCATTTTTGACCTTAACAGAATCGGTGCATACTTTTTGTAATTGGTTAAAGACAATTTCAACATGTGGCATTATTTTATGGAATATACTTAGCCAAAATACAAAATTTGTATCTTGCAGCTTTAATTTGTACCCACTGGCTTGATTAATCGACGAAGAATCGCGTGAAGTACTTTCTATATTGTCCATAACTTCAATCAGGTCTTTCCTATTTTCATAAACTGTATGAACACCTCGTGACTGAAAATTCCAACGTGTTTGGGAAGATCTTGGCAATCTGCAATTAACTATTTCATCCAAAATTTTTGTTCTTTGAGGAGACGTCGAAAAAAGAGCACAATCCAGATAAATTATGGAAAAATATTCTAGCCTGCTTATTGACAGAGCATGCGCTTGTCATAATTAGATTTAACTGGTGTGCATAGCAATGAACATAATTTGCAAGTGGATAAGTTTCCTTAATAATTTTTTGAACGCCATTCAATTCACCACTCATAACAGACGCACCATCATAGCTTTGAGCTATTAATTTGTTTGGATTTTGATCTAGTAATGGATTTACAACATTTAAAACGCATGCAGCGTCGGGGACGTAAAATCTCCAAAATCTCTCAACTGGTTGTCCTTTACACAAATATCTGAAAATAATAACTAACTGAAATTCACAGGCTACGTCAGTCGTTTCATCGGCAATTACTGCAACAAAAGGAGAATTTGCAATCTCCTTCTTAACTTCTTCATGATAAACATCTAGCATGCACTCAAGAAGCTCGTTTTGAGTTGTTTTTGAGGTACCCTTGAAAAGTTTGGCACTTTTAATATGGACTTTCAATTCGTTGTCTAATTCGGCGCTAAAATTCACCAGCTCCTTAAATATGCCTCTGTTTTCCGAATTTTCCTTTTCATCGTGACCCCTTAAGGCTAACTCAAATGCTCCACAAAACCTTATACAATTAATAATTTTATTCAATACATATCGATTCTTATCCACTTGATTATTATGTTTAATTAGATCATTGCGATAAGCCGAATTGAGTTGAGTCCTTATATTTAATTTACCAAGAATAGAAAAGCTAAAAACATTATTCATATGGACTTTAGATTTTTCGTGGGTCTTCATTTTATCCCATATATGTATAAGATCGTCTGTACCTTTTTTTGACCAAGTCTCGTCACCTCCAAATAGAACACATACAAAACAAAATAGTTTATTCGTTTCTTCACAACCACATATCCAGCTGTTTTTATCGTACACATTTTTATTAAATTTGCGACAGCGCGATTTTTGTCCGCTACCACTTTGTTTCTCAATTTTTAAATCGGGTATTGGCCATCCTAATTCTTTAATTTGCAGTTTTTGATCCAGCGAAAAACCACTAAATGAGTTTTTTAATATCCCGATTTTATTCATTTTCACTAGTTTTAATAAAACAGTAAAAAATATGATCACAAAACAGAGCAGTTCATTAACACTAGACGTACTAAAACAAAAAAGGTATTTTTCACTTTTCAGGTAAAAAAAGACCGAAATCAGCACTAGACGTAATCATAACGAAACGACCGACCGAACAAAAACACCGCCGATATCACTTGATAACGAATTACAACTGATGATGTGCCTGGCACAAATTATACTTGTCTTTCGCTATTCACCTCATATAAAAATGTGTAGGGTAGCGTTATCTCTGTCGCTCGAATGCGATGCTAGTAAAATTTCTCTCTTTTTATTTGCTCCGGCCCAAAATTGGCACAAGTTGATGACGTCAAGGTCAAGGCGTGCTTTCCGTTTTCCGTCTCGCGTAGTTCGGGTGCTTGCGGTGTTGTCACGTTGTCAGTGTTGTCACTTCATATAATTTATAGCAAAAAAAATGAAAAAGCAGAAAATAAAGTAAAACATTGAAGATTGAAAAAAAATATTCTTTTTGAAGAAGACAAGGTAGTGCCATGGCACCGTGGCACTACCTCACGAGCCGCCACTGGAGAAAGATGGTCATATCCTTTAACCTGGAGGCACGAGTTTGTGTGACTTGTAGTTATCATCCACAAAAAATATAACATGATACAACACTGGTCGCAGACTTTTATCAAAATCGGTACAGTACGTACCGGTATTACAGGGTAACCAATAATAGACCAAAAAAACGTAGTTATCTCAAACTAGATATCTATGATAGGTAAAACCCTGTCTTATCTTAGTCGGATTAAAAATGTATTGGCTATTTTGTGGGAGTGAAACTTATGGTATAGCAATTGTGTGCAAAAGTATCAATTTACCAAGACAGGTTTCACGCAAGTGATGACGGATTAAGCACGAAACCTGAATATTCAGTGTAGTAAGATATTTTTACTGCAATTGCTTCCTACGCTCCGGGTGGGCCATTAATAAAGGATGCTGGCTGAATCTCGGCAACCGCTCAACTCAGAGAAATCGGGTAAATACTTCTATAACAAAAGTAACCAAGAGAAATTGCTGGAAATTAGTTTCAGCTTCATAAAATGGCCGCTAGGGGCCGTACGTCAAACCTCGAAAGAGAAATGTTCCGTTTTTACTTCGCACACCCAAATGCGATGAAGTATTGTCATCGCAAAACGAGATACTATGCTTTTTACGAGTACCATGTCATTCATTTCCGTCGGTCTGTCCGCTAATCATTGGCCCGTCTATAACAAGGAAAGTAGGGCTCGGATTTGGATAAATTCTTCACATAGGCTAACTCTACTACCTGAAAATCGGTAGAGTAGCAGCGTAGAAAAAAATCGTTCATACTGAGTGTTTTTATCAAAATGTATAAAATGGCTGGGTACTATGAACTAATTGTATAGGCCCGATTGACTAACAATATCTATTTAATGTTTTTTTTGTACATATTTGTAGCTATCTTTGTTTCAGAAGGACTAACTGGTGTACTGAGATGATGACAACGTCGCCTAGGAAGTGCAGAGTCGACCTACTCGACGCCATTTTTTGAGTTATCGTGGTTACGGTATGCAAATGATTCAAATAGCACTTCGGCAATCAAGTTGTGATAGTGCGCAAAGATAAAAATCATAAAATATATATGTACATTATAGGGCGGGGTGTCAATTTTGGATATGTATTTACATATACATAATTTCTGGACTGTTGAGCATTTTTAAAAAACATATGCCAGTCAAAATACGAAATTCGCAAAAATGGACTCACTTTGACCAACATAAATATATCTAGTTGGAAGAAACTCCAAAGCTAAATATACTAAGTGACATATAAATCCGAACACCCAGTTTAAATGGTTTTATTTTAATAAAATTTTGTATAAGTACTTAATAAAGCATAATAAGTAAATGATAAAATTTTCAAAATGATTGCACGGCTTTAAAGCTCTTTGGCCTTTAATAATATGTGGATGCACCCTGATGTGCTACGCATTCTCCAACGCGCCTAGGCATGCTTCTGATCAGGTGGTCAATGTCCTCCTGTGGTATCTCATTCCAGGCAACCACCATCTCCTCTCGAAGTGCTTCTAGAGTCTGAGGAGGACGTTGCAAATTGAGCAATCTCCTACCCATCATATCCCACACGTGCTCAATTGGGGATAAGTCGGGAGATCTTGGTGGCCATGGTAACAATGTGACATCATTATGTTGAAAGAAGTCTATTGTGACTCTTGCAACATGTGGTCGGGCATTATCTTGTTGGAAAGTTGGATCTGCCAGGGTGTCAAGATAGGGTAAAAGATGGGGTTCTAGAACTTCGTGGATATCACGCTGCGCGTTCATGTTACCTCTGATGAAGATTAAAGGTGACCTGGAACCATAAGCTATAGCACCCCAAACCATAACTCCAACAGTGTGATGAACATGTCTTTCAACAAAAAACTGTGGATTCCTCCTTTCACCACGTCGTCTTCTAACCCTGGCACGACCATCGTGCATGCCTAAACAAAATCGAGACTCGTCACTAAAGACAATACTGTTCCATTCCTTATCCCAGAGTGACCGTTGTCTGCACCACTCAAGGCGATTACGTCGGTGTTCTCGAGTTAAAGGGAGGACCCAGTGTGGCCGGTATGAAAACAAGCCAAAACTTCTCATTCATCGGTGAACACTTCGCATGCCAATAGGTCTTCCGTGTTCTGCAAACCATTCATTTGCAATGGACCTGGTAGTGGAGAAACGGTCCCTTAAGGCCAATAATCTTAGGCGGCGATCTTCACGGTCTGTTGTTCTACGGCGGCGTCCAGTGCCCCTTGCTCTTTGCGTACGGCCTTCTCGAAGCCATGCCTGACAACACCTAACCACAGTGTCTACACTTCTTTGCAGTCTAACTGCAATTGCCCGAAAAGAAAGTCCAGCTTCCCGAAGTCCCACTATACGGCCCCTATCAAACTCACTAAGTTGACGAAATCGTACAGGTCTCCGTACTCTAGGCATCGTAACTGATCGTAAAGGATGTCAAGAACCAAAATCCGCCAACGTTGATTCTTTACTGCGGCTGAAATATTCATTTTTAGAGCGTTAGTGAATTAAATAAAAGCAGTATAAAAACCGGAATGTCCAACTGATAAGGCTGAAAATTTTTTCACTTGTTATTTACAGTAAGATAAATACATTCACCAACTTTTATTAAAATATATATGTCACTTAGTATATGTATATTAGAGAAATGTTTATATTGCCTACCTGACAGTGTTAAAACTTACCCTGAAACTAATTGCCCCGTTGCAGTTCACGTCAAAGGCTTTGAACACGTAGTGTGCATATAAACTAGAATCTGTAAAGAAGAAACACCAATTAACTTCATAAACAGATAACACATTTTAAAATGATTTGTCTGATGAATAACTCGATGGATGAACTGGATGGAAAATCATGAATACCGGGCAGTCACACTGCCGTCAGGCAGCCAAATTACATCCACGGTGTTTAGCTAGGACAAGCAAAAATAGAACCTCACCTGCCACCATGTTAGAAATATATGAGATATACCAATATAGAGAGATATTCTGATATATTTAAAATAACATCACATAACTGAGGTTAGATAGTACAGATACAAGAACGAAATATAAAACATTCAATTTTAACTACTAAATATGTAATTATACATTTTTCAAATGTTATCGCATTCCTGAGGGGCATATTGTATTTTATCAGTACTTCACTAAACAAATGAGTGTTAACAGGCCTTCCTGGTCCAACTAGAAAAATACACAATATGCATGCACTATGAGAAATTATGACATAGCTTCCATTCTTTTGTATTTTGATCAGATTATGGAATGCCACTAGGATTAGCCACGTAACCTACATATATCTTCAAAATCCAGAAAATGGAATACTTTGAGGGTAGATATTTTTCAATAAGGTAGCTCTCAAACGAGGCTTACTAAGAAAACGGGTGGGGGCGGTGGACAGCGGCAACATGAACATTTTTTATGCTCTCGAAGCTATGTGAAGAACGAAGAGATGCAAATTTTCCCACGAAGAGACAAAACAAAGTTTATGAGGACTGCACTCTCATGGATGTACTGGTTTCCAATAGTCTGATTTATAATCATTCTAAGTGGTATGGATTGCTGCATTTGAAAAGTGACACAAGATCAGTTCATTCTTGAACTCTATTCAACGTTTGTTTGTTACGGCGCAGGTGTCTGTACATACTTTTGCGATGTTTCCAACCTATTTATTGATGGATATCATGAATATTAAACAATTGCTTTATACATACAGCTTCTATCATCAGTATTTGCTTAACCTAAAATTTGGTGTCATCCAACGGCGGATCCACGATTTATGTCTGGGGGCGGTCACACATGTTCAGGAAGATGTTCTTCTCGTCTTCGGGGGATATTAAATCTAATTTATAAATGAACAATTTATTGTATTGTATTTTTGTCTTCCTGTGATTCGATTAATATTAATACTTACCATCTCCTTTGAATCCAGTGCAACAACTTTTTTGTGGTTTTGTCTGTCACACTGGCGGATTTAAGTAGTCGCAAATTGGACATTGCCGCCTGGGCCCCCTCCAAGGAAGGGTGGTCACAGGGCAAAAATCAGCTCTAGTGTCTACATTGTTCAGCGCGTCTGAATGTAAAATTAATAACAAGAAATCAGAGTGTTGTTATATTCTTTTAATGACCATCTGCGTAATGTTTATGAAACAGCGCGTTAGCTTTTCAGTTTGAATAAGAAATTGTTTGAAAACTGACTATTTTTATTTCTAAAAAATTGACCGAATGAGTCTTTTATTCCTCAAGGAGTGGAGGGGTTATTTTTTCATTTTGTGCTTACAGTGATATATTATTACCTGACATAAAATGTTCAGAAAATAAATACCTTTGTATAAACTTTCACAATACTGTGCATTTTTTGATTTCATGACATATCTATCTTCTTCATGATAATATCATGGAGGAAATTTTTTGAATGTATTATCAATTGCATAGAAGATGAAGAGTGGGAGCTTCTGGCGAAGATATAATGAATGCAAGATCCCTCCTTTCCTCCATGAACTGGATCTTTTTCCTCAATTTGTTATGGTGGCATTCAGTATTGAGCGTAGTGAATACTGTGCAAGTTCAAATGAAAAAGAAAGAAATAGACTTGATGATAGCTCAAAGGTGCATTTCAGCAGCATTAAAAAAAAATTAAATGATTTTAGGAGCGAAAGCACATACGATATAATTTTGTTCGGATGGCTAAGAATAAACGGGAAGAGATGGAATGAGAAAATCTTGGTTTTCCCATTGTCAAATAGAGGAAAATCAAAAAAAATGTTCGACGAAAAAGCTGCTGACTCGCCACTGGAAACACACGAAAAACATCGAATAAATTACTACGAAGTTTAGGATTCAATGAGTAACGAATTGCAAGAACGTGCTGAAGGATTTCGTGAAGTCAATGACGTGTTTGATTTTTTGGTGCCAGAGAAATTAGAATTAGAAACCAGCCTCACATTTGATGGAAAAATATTCGGAATTTTTCACTACAGATCTAAAATTAGCCAGTTTTACGAGCATCCATTTTTCAGAAAACCGTAATTTTACTAACGACAACTCACTAAATTATTTGAAGTTCATGATTGCAAACAATTTTATAGACAGTTTTCCAGAGAGTTGCAGTTTATTCAGATTGTTTTTGACTTTGCCTATCGGTTCAGCTAGTGCTGAACGTGTCATGAGCTCTTTGAAAATTATTAAAGAATACCGTCGAGCTTCTTTGGCTGAAGACAAACTCAACAACTTCTCTATCCTCTATATCGAAAGATCAGTAGCTAATACACTCAATTTGGATTCTGCGATGGAAGTTTTTGCTGAACGAAAAGCAAGACGCGGATTCAAATTAGAATAATTCTGTTATTTTGTATTGAATAAAAAATGTTTGATCTCACAGTCTTTACTTGATTTAGGTTATATAGACATATAGCAAAAAAACAGAGGTAACAGTGCGCAGCAGCTACTATCGTGCATATAATTGTAAGCCCCTGTTAATATGTGACATTCTTATTGCCAGCAAAATCTGTAGTTCGAACTTAATCTGAACAATTTAGATGGATTTTACGTTATCGAAAAATTTTAGATCCGCGAGAATATTGAAACAGTTGAATTAGCTGATTCATTGGCACGTTGAAGCAGCGTCAGATTAACTTTATGCATCAACTTACTATTAAAAAACCTTTTGCACTATCCATGAGCTTGTTTCGGTTACTTGTGCAGGTCTTTCTAATTTTTCTCTAAAAATTCTCAGTTGCCGTCATTAATTTGCAAATAGCGATAAATATGGAGAATATCACTTTCGCAAATAATGCCCAGTATATATCCTGTAGTAATGCACGTTATTTAACGTATTTTAGTGTTGTTCACCAAGTTTGTATTCAATGAAATATTAATCACGGCAAACATTACAACAACTATCGATCATATTTGTTTTTTTTCTTACTTATAATTTTATGCAAATCCTATAAAGAGCGTGCACTCCAAATTTGACTCGACGCCCTTATCGGTAGCATCCGTGATAATTTTTAAACTCTATTATGCACAAGAAGTTTGCTGGTAAATCATCAAGTTTAGTTTACTTCAAAAAATTACGATGCGCATTACAACCTGTCCCGAGCTCGTGCGCACTATTGAATGCAAAAACCAGACTGATGTAGGATTGCACTAACATGATATTACGCATTAAATTTTCAGTTATCATGCAACTCCCAAAGTTTCTATTACTGTATTTTATTTGTCAAGAATTGTAATTTATGTTATTCGCAAAACAGTTATAGTGCGCGCTATTTGCCGTTTGCCCCCGATCATACCACTGGGCCCCCCCAGTTTTTCCTACATCAAGCTGACCGCATAGGTAACCAGTCTTGCGCTATCATTTATGAGCTTACAGTTAAATCCAAGTTGAGGAATGCAGTGCTGGCAGTGTTTAGTAGAAAATACCAGCACGGCATCCATTTAATATGTGTGCATTACTGATTTATCTAAGAGATTTGGAACTTTAAAAATTGGTGGTCGAACTAAATTCGCCTCCATGACCCCCCCTCTATCCGCGCCTGGTGTCATCTCACAAACTTAGTCGTTCAAGTCGATCATAAAAGTTCGGGGTAGAAATTAGATGCATTTGTTTAAGCAGAGACACTGCGAACAGGCTTTTGCTACTAGAACCCGGATTTCTACTTCCGCCACTGGGCGAAGAAGTATTGTCTGTCTGTCTGTCTGTCGGTCGGTCTGTCTGTCGGTCTGTCTATCGGTCTGTCTGTCTGTCTGTCGGTCTGTCTGTCGGTCTGTCTGTCGGTCTGTCTGTCGGTCTGTCTGTCTGTCTGTCTGTCTGTCTGTCTGTCTGTCTGCCTGTCGGTCTGTCTGTCGGTCTGTCGGTCTGTCTATCGGTCTGCCTGTCGCTCTGTCTGTCGGTATGTCTGTCAGTCTGTCTGTCGGTCTGTCTGTCGGTCTGTCTGTCGGTCTGTCTGTCGGTCTGTCTGTCGGTCTGTCTGTCGGTCTGTCTGTCGGTCTGTCTGTCGGTCTGTCTGCCGGTCTGTCTGTCAGTCTGTCTGTCGGTCTGTCGGTCTGTCTGTCTGTCGGTCTGTCTGTCGGTCTGTCTGTCGGCCTGTCTGTCGGTCTGTCTGTCGGTCTGTCTGTCGGTCTGTCTGTCGGTCTGCCTGTCGGTCTGTCTGTCGGTCTGTCTGTCGGTCTGTCTGTCGGTCTGTCTGTCGGTTTGTCTGTCGGTCTGTATGTCGGTCTGTCTGTCGGTCTGTCTGTCGGTCTGTATGTCGGTCTGTCTGTCGGTCTGTCTGTAGTAGAGATTCACGACTTGACTTGATTTTCAAGCTACTTGACTTGACTTGACTTGATATCAAGTCAAGATCAAGTCAAGTATTTGTTTTTGAAATTCAAGTCAAGTCAAGTAGTGACACATCAAGTAACTTGAAAATCAAGTTTTCAAGCAAACTACTTGATTTTTCTTGAAAAAATGTACTTTTTTAATATTAATCTGTTCAACTGCCAAAACGGAATAACAATAAAAATCTATGTATATATAGATTTAATCTTTTATTTAAAAAACATCTAAAAACGAAAACTCTAACAAACTCAGTTTAATAATACATGAAATAATATGAAATAAAAATGCGAAATATTCTGAATTCTGACAATAAAACAATAGAAAATCAACAAACATGAAAATGAATATCTAAAATAAATCTTTAATATCCTCATTTGCCATCCATGATTTGAGACACAAAAGGCTTCTAACGGAGTTATCGCCTAATCGATTTCT